TTTTTTTTTTTTTTGTGCAATAAAAATGAATTTTATGGACAGTTGTTTAAAAAAAAATTTATTTAATGGACAATTTTCATGAAAAACAAAATCAAACGAACACCAAAATATCCAAAATTTCAACATTTTTCAGGTGAAAAGTTATACAAATCAAACACAATTAATTGACAATTCCAAATAAAATGAATTTTAGATAAATTTTCACCTAAATTTCATCATTGCAATCAAACGGACCCTAAATATAGTTTCATCCTAAAGATATAGACATTTGCTAGAGTTAGGTTAGATGTACAGTAATTTTTTCTCAGAATTTTTACTTGGCAAATTTTATTCATTTTTGACAAAAAAAATTAATAATAAAGGCACCACAAAGGTGCTGTATGCAGCACCACGGGGCGCCGCATGGCCCTGGATGGGCAAGGCCACACGTGCCCCGACAGCCTAGCGGATTAAGCTGGTGTTTGATATCATTTTTTTTACATACAATTTTTTCTCTTCTTTTTAATTATATATTTTTAAACAAAATATTATTACACACAAATTGAAAAAATTTCCTTATATTTTAATCACACATTCTCCATCAATCTATTATTTAAAATGCGCTCTTAGCCTCTTAGTATTAAAATGGGAAGCAAATAGACTCTAATTCAAAGTTATATATAGAGGGCATCACAGGAGTCTTGTACGAAACTCGTTGCCTTCTTGCCACCGCCATATGGGAATTGGGATAATTGTAGGAGCAAAAACCAATTGAGTGTTACTGTAGTAAAGTTATTTTCAAAGTCGTACCAGAGTTTTTTTTATTAATAAATAAAATTAGTTTCTTTTGGATAGTGACGGCAAAAAACCTGCCCCGCCCTGCCCTAGTGCTGCCCCGCCAAAAAACCTCCCCTATGGGTTGGTGGGGCGGGGCAAGGAGGGGGTGCCCTCCTCGAAGCGCCCCGTGAAAATTAAAAAAAATAATTAACTACAAATTAAAATCATAAAATAGTTAATTAGAAGTTTTTAAAAAAATAAATAAATAAACGGGGCAAGTTGGCACCCCGAACCCGCCCCGCCCCGCCCCGTCTAAGGTGGGACGGGGCGTGGGGCGGGACGGGATGGGGGAGTGGCGGGGTGGGGCGAGGGTGCCCCGCCTCGAACCCGCCCCGTTGCCATCTCTACTTTTGGGGTTTTAAACTCAACGGGGCATTATCATTCACCGCCTTCTTTGATCTATTTCGAGAGTCTAATGAAGGATGTAATTGAGAAGCAAGAAGAATTGTCGAAGAAATTCTTAGAAACTCGAAAGAGATCGAATCGCTATTAAGGAAGCTTGGAGCGTATAAGAAATGGTGTGTCATGATTATAAATTTGTTTATTTTAAGTTTTTATTGAACAGTGAGTATAATTGTAAAATTTGTTGTAATATATTTTAATTGTTGTGTGATTTTAATGTGGTGTAGTAAGTAAATTTTGTAGTGGTAAATTTATTGATGTGATGAAAATTTTTATTTTATTGAAAAATGTGTGGTTGAAAATAAGTTTTGAAAGAACGTGTACTAAACATGGATAAAATTTATTTTAGTTGAAGTTAGCCACAAAACTCTTTTTTTTTTCTACATATTCATTTTTAACTATACATTTATACAATGAAATATTTTACACATAAATTTAAATTTTTTCCTATTTTTAATCATATATTATCCAAATAATTACTATTCAAAATTTCATTCCACCTAAATCATGATTGTCAAAAGATGGGCTTTATCTCTCTTCATTACTTCTCACTGGCCAACTTTATCTCTATTCCTCCACCGAGATAAAGAGCTTGTTTGGTACAACTCAAAATCGGATTAAAATTGAAAATATAATTTTTATTGGGTCTCACTCGTCTAATAAAAGTAAACAATAACGACTAATTTTTCAATTTTAATCCGATTTTAATCTCTACTGAACACACCCAAATTAAAACTTACAAAGCCATAATTTTCAATCGCCAAAAGGATGAATTCATGCATTTTTCATATCGTATCCTTTCCTATTTATAATAATAATAATAATAATAATAATAATAATAATAATAATAATAATAATGTATTATATGTGCGTCTCATGAAATATATAAATAATAAATTATTTGATCAAAATTATTATTTTATCAAAATAATTATGAATTACTAAAAACACGATACCAAAAATACTAGAT